ATGCATCGAATTGCCTCCTCACATCAGAGGGCAAGTACTGCAAGACCAATTGGGTACTCCAGCCTTCAGTCACAAGAGAACCAGAAGAATTATGGTTCCTCCACATCATGCTAGTCCCTCCAACTCTCATGGTTATGGTTGATAGCAGAATACAAAAAGGGCCACACAAGAAGGTCACAGCCATGAAAAATGGCAACACAAACAACACCAGCACCAGCACCAGTTTACTGGGGCTGGCCTGGAAGGTTTTACTAACTTTGTTAGTTCTTTTGCAGGTGACAACCTCTTATGAATTACCTATTCCTTTGCTGATGGTTCAGAGTATGGTATTAACCTTATGGTTCATTCTCCTGAAACTTCAACAAGGAATAGAAGTAGTTTATAAAAGGCAGGAAAGCAATCCTAATGGTGAAACCTATACCCCTGTGACCTCTCTACATTGGCATAGGGCAAGGGTCCACACACACACACATCATGGACAAGCACACTACCATCACACCACATATACCACCATTGAAACACTCCCAGAGATCCAAACTTCCATGCAACAAATCACCATAAATAGCAAAAGTCCCACACAGCTGGGGAACTGTTGTGCCAAGTACAACCCAGTAGAAACAACCACAACAATCAACCCAGTTCAAGTCCTATCAACCCTCTTCTTCTGGCACCCAACCCCTGCACAACCCTATGATCCCTTCAAACAAAACAGTCCTAAAAAACTGGCCAGAAATGCTCACCTGTACACTAACTTCATTTTCTGTTTTGCATGTCCCCTCTTTCTATCATTGATCAATCAATTGGAATGGTTTCTGGGAGTGGTATCAACATCATTGATGTTCATTCTCCTAGAAACAAACCAGTTGATACTCAAACATCATCCCCACAGCAGCAGCATCCCACAGATACACCAGAAAGTGCAGAAATCAGCACCTTCAGGTGCAGAAAATGCAGGACTCTTTCCTCATCAATGTTGCAGGGTCTCTCATGCATGCAACCATGACTTCTCAAGTCAGCTTCATCTACACAATATGAGCGACAATAATACAGCTGATTGCAGTGATCACAAGAACCTGCAATCAGCTCTTTATTGCTCAGGGATCCCAATTGCTCCCCTGCCCCCAGACTCATCTCCAGTTAACACAAGAACCTGGAGATTGAGCTCCCCTTCACTAACAGGTTTCTTATGTTTTGCAGGTACTGGGAGTACACTTGATCAATTGGTGCTTTTTCAGCTAGTGGTATTAGCATCCCTGATGCTCATTCTGCTGAAAATGTACCAGTTAATTCAAGTCTCTCCACCCATCCACAAATACATAGGTTCACAGGGCTCAATGAAGATCCAACAGCAGCACCATTTCTGCAACTTTAAGGCAGGTCTGCAGGAACAGTGGTGCACTCAATATAGAGCCACACATGATCCTCAAGCTCAACCATGCACACTGTCAGCTACTCTCACAGGCTGGGTTAATGTAACAGGAAAAGGCCTCCTTGGCTCACCCTTTTCTGTCAGATATGCAAGACAACAACAGCACAGTTCAGCTTCTCCTGAATTATTTTTGCCAACTATCTTCCATTTAGCTTTCCCTGACTTCAAGGTCAAAGCAAAATGGAAGATAGTCCTCCTCTCTGATTCCATCTATGTGCCATTCTTACTAGAATTTGCACTAAAGTGTAATATATGTAGAACTCATTGTACAGGGAAGGAATCCTTCCAACATTTCTACTTAGCATATTTAGGTTTACATGTACTTTTTTGTATAGTTGACCTAGGCTTACCACATTTGTATTTTGCAGCTCCAATTTGTTGGGTGTGCGAACAAAGTCCCACATTGGTAGCTGAAAAGATTGGGAGTCTACATATAAGGTGTAGGGATCTCTTAATGGTGTGAGGCCTTTTGGGAAAAACCGTGCGGGCTTGGCCCAAAGCGGACAATATCACACCATGTTAAGAGTATATTTGGGCTATATAGCCCAACAACTGGTATCAGAGCGCAGGTTCAGCGGAACGAGTATGGAGATGGCGGAGTAATGGTGCAGGGCGATGCACACACAAGAAGAAGCTAGTTGCGGGCTTCGGTTGCCATAATACTCTAACAATGTGGGTGGTACACAGTGAATCTCGAAAATTGACCCGTGGATCGTGGTAGTGGGCCACGTGGAACTTAGTTCGAGGGGGAGATTGTTGGGTGTGCGAACAAAGTCCCACATTGGTAGCTGAAAAGATTAGGAGTTTACATATAAGGTGTAGGGATCTCTTAATGGTGTGAGGCCTTTTGGGAAAAACCGTGCGGGCTTGGCCCAAAGAGGACAATATCACACCATGTTAAGAGTGTATTTGGGCTAGTATAGCCCAACACAATTGACTATCATTGTTGGATAGTTAATTGGACCATCTTCATAGGTCTAACTCGCCATAGGGTACAGATGTCAGTAGGTTACCAAATGTGGTTGACCAAGTGCATTTTCATCTTAATTGTGGAGGTAAGATTCAGGTCCCCCTCCACTTTTGTTGTAACCTTTTATATATATATAAAAATTAACCCTAGGCACAGTGCCTAGTGGATTCAGTTAAAAAAAATGCATCGAATTGCATTTTTTACATTCATTTTAAGAAAATTTTATATATTGCTCAAAATAACTTTCACAGCCCTTCAAGAATATAGATAAAGTATACAAATCTAAAGGTTAATGTGATATAGAGAAATGTTTTTCGCAACAATTACTACAGTAATAAAATATAGAGAAATCTATATTTTTTTGCCACTCCCAAAAATGTGTATTATATACAAAAAATATATATATTTTATACACTTTTTTGCTAGCGAATGGAATTAGTTTCGCTCAATTTCGTATTTTGCCCAAAAATATATGTCAAATTAAGCTTAATAATATGCTTTAACAAAACTGGAAGAAACGATGAAGCCTGCAACGTTCTCTCTCCTTTTTCTTTTTAGTGGAAATATAGCAAAAGATGATGAATATGAAAGGTTAAACGGTGACCTCCCTATTTTTTTTAAAGAAAAATCATTATCTAACTCTGCCTTACTAAAGTTCTGCCTACATTTCCAAATGCATTCGTCATGTTCGATCACATTTTTATAATTGATAAAAACCAATTGCATTGATATTTGAGATGTTCAAAACTGACTATCAAGTTAAAGTAATCTTTAGTTTGATGTTAATTATTTATTGTCGAAATATGAAGTTACGTTATACGCTTACACTTGATATTGCATTTTTATGTTGGTCATTACCATAATTCTTTTTTCCCTTCGGAGGCACATCTAATGTGTAACCTGCTCACTGTATAATAGCTCGTAAATCATACAGAAAATGTAAATTGCACTATGTAAGTTTGGTGCGACGAGCTCTGACTGAAACGGCTGTTGATGATTAAAGAGAATCAATCTCAGGTCTCTCCAATTGAAACCACTCACCCAACCAACACAATCAACCCTTTCTCACCTTATCATAATTCTTTGTTGTGGTAAATAAAATAAGAAAAATTAGTCGTGGTGTGCCAGTAAGATAAAATATTATCACCAATAATATAATCTGGGCATACGATATATAGGCAAAAGTCAACTTCACTGTTGGAAGAAGCAAGAAACATGACGTATAAATGTGGTAATATATGTGTTATATTCCCATTAAAACCGTTGAACTTATAATTTATTAGTTCCATCAAAATCTTTAGACAATGTCAAATTTAGACTTTCTTTCTATTTCCTAGTATTTATTTCGATCATCTTTGAACAATACTTGTAACGTGATTTACTAGATAAGAAAACTTCAAAAAGAAATTAATTAGCTGGGGTCAAAATTTAATAATCAGTTACAAAAATTATAAAGTTTTACTTGGCTGACCAAGCATTTAATGAGGAAGTTCAACTATCTAGTATCTACAATATTTTTCTTTTTTCCATACAATGGGGACTGATTCATTTTTTTTTTCATACACGTTTGGGAAGAGTAGACTTAAAAAGAAATTGAATGTGTTTTTTTATTTTTTTAACCAATCGGTATTTGATTTGCATAGAATCAGTAGATCCACAAATAAAGGAGTAAAGCGCTCTTGTATTAGACACTACCATAAATTCGGCCAAAACCAACCCCGGTCGACCGATCGGCTTCGGTCGGTCCAAAAACCGGTCAGTCAGTCGATTTTTCAAAATATATTATTTTTTAATTTTTTTTAACGAAATCGACCAACTTTGATCGGTTTTTTGGTTATTTTTTAATAAAACCGACCTACATTGGTCGGTTATTTTCACGCGAAAAATTAAAGAGTATAAATGAAATAAAAGACACTCTTAAAACTAAAGCACTAATGGTCTAGTGGTAGAATAGTATCTTGTCATAGTTTGGACCTCGGTTCGATTCCCAGGTGGTGTATTTTTTAATTACATGGTTAAAATACAAACCGACCTTGGTCGGTTTTTCCGGCAATTTTTTTATTTTTTGGAATTTTATTGACCGACAGAAATCGATCGAAAAATACCGACTGAAGTCGGTCAGTTGACTCTACTGACCATACGATTACGGCCGCCATGAATCGATCGGTTTTCGATCGATTGTTGCTAATTACTGACAAACATCCGTCGGTTTTGGTAGTCGATTTTTTCCTTTTTTTTTAGTGGTGAGAAGAGGAAAAAAACACCTTATATATAGCCCCAAACCATACCGGAATGTATATCTACATTATATTTTATGAGACACAAAGCAAGAATGCAATAACAATTAAGGTAAACTGAAATTTCTATAAGCATTGGTTTCGTCCAAGACACATATGAAATGTATAAAAAATTACATCAAAAAATAAAACTATTGGGGATGTTTACCGTTAAACAATCTGGCATACCCAACAGATCACAAAAATTCAAATGATTAATTCAACACTCTTTGGACATAATTAACCTAACAAACTTTCTTCTATTTCAACAAATTTCTTTACAAGTATCTGACTTTCATATTAACTCTTTTTTGAACCCTTAATTTTAGAAAGAATCACTTCCCAACCCCAAATAATTCTTGAGCTCATAAGGAAAACATGGATTTTTCTTCCATTTATCACCATGCAACTTGAAAATCTTGAGAACTCTATCTTTTGTTGATGAAGAGCCACCAATATGTAACAAAGTAACCAACTTTTTCACTGCTCCATACATCAACATGTCCTCTAAAACCTTCTCTGTGGGGTTAGAATTGCAAATCAATGAAAGAATTTTCGCCCCAATTTTTGTGGCTATATTTGAAATATTCAATATTTTCTTGGATATGACTGCAATTCCTAGCCCGTGTTCTATGAATCCCATTCTTCCATCAGCACATTCACACAATAACTTGATCAAGTACATTATTTTCTCACATTTTGATTTGTTTGAATCAGGAAGTATTTCAATGAGTGTGCAAATAGCACCAGCCTCAATAGCTTTCAATCTTGATTTTTTCGATTTTTCGAGTATATCTATCAACACTTGTAATGCACAAGAACTTGCCTTACTGCAAATTTCATCAGATAAAATCTCCAACAAAGACTTGAAGAATTCAATCCCTTGATCTTCAATCACAATATTCCAATTACAATCAGCTTTTGTGATCCTTTGGAATATCGAAACGGTGCAAAATCTTGCATCTGCACTTCCCCTTTGTAGCATTATGGCCATGGATTTCATGCACCCTGGCTGTAACAAAATCTTGATTGTCTCCTCTTCTTCTAATACAAATGGCAATTTAATCAAAAGACTAAGAGCCTCTTCACAAGCTCTAAACGTGACAAAATCCGAGCTTTCGATTAAAATTTGTTGAATAATCCTAACAAGAATCTCAACACCACCACATGTTTTGAAATCATCCTTCACATCATGATCACCTACTTCAACAATTGACTTGAGTTTCTTTAAAGAACTTACCTTAAAAGGGCTCGATTCTATCGTATTGAGCAACGAAACGAGCTCATCGTGTTTGTTGGAGAATGAAGAAGATGAATTTGATTGAGATTTCCCATTTTGCCAAGCAAGAATGAGTCTCTTGAGGGTGTGATTTGGAGTCATGTCAAAGCTATGAATTGCTTGCATTGTAGCAGGACAAGTTTTTTTCTTGTAAGTATAGAACCATTTTTCTACATTTTTTCTCTCATATGTAACACCAGTGGATATTGTAACAGGATCTTTCATAAGCTCCATGGAAATGGGGCATCTAAAATGTTGAGGAAAATCCATAGACAGATGATTTAGATTTTCTTGATTATAAGCTGAAAGAAGAAGTGGGGTAGACATAATCCTAGGCTTTTTATACGTGTTGGTAATAATGTGTATGTATTTATGAAGTAAGATAGAGATATGTGTGGAAGTCTAAAGAAGGAATAAATCAAAGTCAAAGAACTCTATTTTAATTGGTTGGCATTAGAAGTATGCAAGCTGTGTAACTGTTGACATCAAAGCAAAAAAGATGTGCCTCTTGGAAAGTGCTGAATTTAGTTTGAATAGTCTATTTAATTGAATATTGAAATTGCTCTTTTGTCATCACACCCCCTATTTTGGGTAAATATGAACTTGAACCCTAAAATATCTAACATGGAAGTCTATTTATCAACAACAACAAAAAAAACATTAGGTTTAACTAATATCACTTGACTGTAAAGAATTTTACAAGTCATTATAATTTACTTATTATAGCACATTATTTATCTTATTTTTCAGGTTATAAACTTCACTTTTACTGATAGTTATTTTCTAAGTAAACTGATAGTGTAAAAAATATTTTACATCGTAATGTATAAAGGTTTAAATTCATTCGTACTGTGAAATGGTAATTTTGATGTTCTAAGCATCTCACTCTGCATGACCTTGTGTTGTACCTTTTTAATGATTTCACGACAGATAAAAATTACATTTGTAAATTTTTTAATTCTATCAAAGATACAGCAACAACAACAACAACCCAGTAAAATCCACTAGTGGGGCCTGGAGAGTGTAGTGTGTACGCAGTCCTTACCCCTACCCCGAAGGAGTAGAGAAGCTGTTTCCGAAAGACCCTCGGCTCAAGAAAATAAAAAGACAAAGACAAAGGAGACAATATCAGTATCACCAAGATAAATAAATAATGTTGAATTAATTTTAATCATAGACAAAAACTTATTTTGAAAATTCTAAATATATGATTTTATTTATCCAATATAATGTTTCCCTGTCAAGGACGATTGCATTCGTAAGTTAAGAAGTGAATATCAATAGCTTTACGAAGAAATTACAAGTCCATTAATTCATATTTGATGTTCTTCACCTAAGTCTAAATTAAGATATTTGGCTATACCTAATGTATCTTTCAACAATAAAAAGGCTTTGGTTATCCTTGTTCATTTAATGGCATGAAGACGATAATATGGATGTTCAATTGGAAATACAAAGAGAAGTAGAGAGGCGAAAATGACATTATAATTTCTTATAGAAGGTTTTTGCGGACCGAATTGGGAGTTGACTTTAAGAAGAGTATAGGAACTGTTAAATAAAGATTAGATCTAAACTTGCGCAAGACATGCAATAGATAATTGGTATTATTTTAATTAAGGGTTACAGTCCTATAAATAAAATAAAAATATACAACAATTTAACTATATATATTTCTATTCAAACATCAGTTTGCATAACACCGCCGAGGACTGCGATATCTCAACACGTTATTCCCTCTTTGCTTCTCCTTGGCTGTTGAGCTGCCCTCTCTGACTCTCTTTCCTTTCTCTCTCCAAAAAAAAAAAAAAAAATACTAATAAAAGATCATATAAAATTACTTACACAATCATGTCAGAAGAAATGTAATTACACATAACTTTGTAAGTGGTATACATTTTAATGGCTTAGTATAATTTGTCTTCGTAGACTTTTTAAATAGGTAGTAGTAGCATATTACAACGGCTAAATTTCGCAACTTTATCTTGTATTGATCAGGAGGAGGATGACTAGTGGTGGATGTATATTCGCGATCACACAAACATTATTTTAATTTGTTCGTCTCAAATCATATATAATTATAAAAAATAGGGAAAAAAGAGTTTACACATGCTGCATAGCATCGATACATTGTGACACAATGATGAATGGGTGCAGTAATATTACGTACTCAATTAACTTAAAATCCTAGATTAGCGTAAAGGTGTTAAATAGGTCAAAGGAACAGAAAATAAATGGAAGATGCATAATATAAGTTCGAAGTAGCAGGAAGTCTTTACAATTATTTTCTTTAATTAGTAGTACATGGAAGGCAATAAGGAACAACATATTTAAATCACAGGTCTTAAATCATGTACTGTTTGACTTAAGCATTTGAAGTCTAAAATTACGTCTAACTGATATATATATTTTTTTAATTTCAAATTGAGAGACTTTTGAGCATGACCCGGCCGGTCGTTTCGAGAGTTATAGCCCCGTTGCCCCATTTCCTGCTCCTTTTGTGTTCTTAAGCTGTATTATGACTTATCGGGTTAGTCGGTTCGGGTCCGGAGAGGTTTTGGAGTGAATTGAGACACTTAGTCTCTTAGGAAAAGGTTTAAGTTGGAAAAGTTGACCGGATGTCGACTTATGTGTGAACGACTTCGGATTTGAAATTTGATGGTTCCGTTAGCTCCTTTAGGTGATTTTGGACTTAGGAGCGCGTCCGGAATGTGATATGGAGGTCCGTAGTAGAATTAGGCTTGAATTGGCGAAAGTTGGAATTTTGGCGATTTTGGTCGGCAGTGAAAATTTTGATATCGGGGTCGGATTGGATTTCCGGAAGTTGAAGCAGGTTCGTGGTGTCATTTCTGACTTGTGTGCGAAATTTGAGGTCATTCGGACGTGTTTTGGCAGGTTTCGACATCGTTTGTGGAATTCAGAAGTTTAGAAGTTCTTAGGCTTGAATCCAAGTGTAATTTGGTGTTTCGATGTTGTTTTGAGTGATTCAAAGATTCGACTAAGCTTGTATGTTGATATATGACTTGTTGGTATGTTTGGTTGAGGTCCCGAGGGGCTCGGGGTGATTCCGGATGGCTAACAGGGAGTTTGGAATTTGAAAAATGCAGCTGAAGCTGCAGCTGTTGGTGTTTTCGCACCTGCGGAGTGGGAACCGCAGGTGCAAGGTCGCAGGTGCACTTGGGGAGCCGCAGATGCGGACAAAGAGGACCTGGGCTGGAATCGCAGGTGCGTAAGAGAGGTCGCATCTGCGAGCCCGCAGATGCAGAAGTGAGGAGTTTGGCATTTTCCGCTGAAGTGGAGGGAAATGCGCATGTGCTCACCTGCAGGTGCGAAAGGTTGGCCGCAGATGCGGACTTGGTGTATTAAGTGAGTTCCGCACCTGAGATGGAAATTTCCGCAGGTGCGGTGTCGTAGAAGAGGACAAGTGGACCGCAGGTGCGGTTTCACTGATCAGAAGGTATAAAAAGGGGACTTCGTGATTTTGCTCATTTCCATCATTTTCAATTCGGACTTTGGAGCTTTTGGGGAGATTTTTGAAAGGGATTCAAGGATATTCACTGAGGTAAGTTGCTTGAGCTCTAATATCACTAGCAATGGTGTTTTCCTGTTGATTTCTCGCCTAATTAGTAGGATTTTTGAAGTGAGATAAGGGGTTAGGGCTTGGGATTCTAGAGAGAGTAATTTGGGGATTTGAGTGACCAAATGATGTCGGATTTTGATGAAAATGGTATGGGTAGACTCGTGAGTGAATGGACTTTCTAGTTTTGTGATTTTTGTCAGATTTCGAGACGTGGGCTCGGGGGCCGGGTTTGAGTGAATTTCAGGATTTGGCCTATAATTTGGTATTTTTGTGGAATTGGTTCCTTTAGCCTATATTGATCGTATTGTATTGCTTGTGGCTAGATTCGGGGCATTCAGAGGCCGAGTCGAGAGGCAAGGGCATTGCGGAGTAAGATTTTGCTCGGTTTGAGGTAAGTAACTCTTTCAAACTTGGTTCCGAGGGTTCGAAACCCGGAACTACGTGTTATGTGGTTAGTATTGAGGTGACGCACATGCCAAGTGACGGGCGTGCGACCGTGCACCGTGAGAATCGTGACCTGGTTCATTCCATGGCACCGTTTAATGACGCTTTCTTGTCGATATCCGTGTTTCCATTATGTGATAAAGTAATTAAGCTGTAAACATGCTAGAAATCATGTTAGGGCTTCACGCAGATACTGTTGGGACCCTAGTGGTCGTTTCTTGCTGTCATTTCACTGATTTCACTGTTATTTTGTACTCAGTCAAATTCATGCATTCATATTATATCTCAGTCTCAGTTGTTATTATTGGCATAGCATATCATTGTTACCAGGCTAGTTTTTTGAAATTGTGAGCCCGTGGTGAGACTGGAGAGTGATGACTGAGTGAGGCCGAGAGCCTGATTATGAGTGACAGTTATGGGGTCGAGCTGCACGTCGCAGCAGTTATATTGATTATGATAGCGCTTGGGCCGTAGGAGCCCCTACGGAGTCTACACACCCACAGTGGGCGCGGATGATATTATTGAGGGATGGATTTTTCTGGACATAGATTTGTCCGAATTATTGATATCTGGAGATGGATTTCTCCACAGGGTTGGATTACCCTTGTTCCTCGGTACCAGGTGACTTATAGTCAGTGATGAGTATGTTCCGGGATGGATTTCCTTGGGCCGGATGGCCATATACGGTACCGAGTGGTTGAGAATTTATATATCTACTTGGAGATGGATTTTTCCACAGGGTTGGATTGCCCTGGTTTCCCCGGTACTGAGTGACTTACAATCAGTGTTGTATATATTCCGGGATGGATTTCCCTGGGCCGGATGTCCATATTCAGTACCGAGGGGTTGAGCACTTGAGAGTGGGAGTACACTGTGCATTTCATACAATTAATGGCATCGACATGTAGAGGCAGTTGAGTTATATATTTTAAACTGTTCAGATCTGTATTTACCTTATTACTTTGAGCTAGGGGTGTTCAAAATCGATCCGAAACCGAAAACCGAACCGAAATCGAAGCTTAATGGCTTATTGGTATCGAGTTAACGGTTTAACGGATAGGGAGTAGATTAAAATTTTTTTATTAATGGCTTATCCGTTTGGGGGCGGATTATTCAATTTTCTTGAAGGATAATCCGTTAACCCGTTATGAATATATATATATAATTTATTTCTGAATAATCCATCAAAGTCAGCAAAGTTATCTACTCTATT